TGTTAGATGGAGTGGGATCTGAGTTACTACAGAGAATTCTTTCCTGGGTGTCTGGCTGGTGAATCTTGCCCACATGCTCAGGGTTTAGCTGATTGCCATATTTGGGGTCGGGAAGGAATTTTCCTCCAGGGCAGATTGGCAGAGGCCCTGGGGGGTTTTCACCTTCCTCTGCAGCGTGGGGCACAGGTCACTTGCTGGAGGATTCTCTGCATCTTGAAGTCTTTAAACCACGATTTGAGGACTTCAGTGGCTCAGACATAGGCCAGGGGTTTGTTACAGGAGTGGGTGGGTGAGATTCTGTGGCCTGCGTTGTGCAGGAGGTCAGACTAGAAGATCATAATGGTCCCTTCTGACCTTAAAGTCTATGAGTCTATGAGAGTCTATATGAGATGATCCCTTTTTTCATTATTTTGACTTTCGGCTACTAGAAACAGGCTGAGAACATCATCATCTTAGACCCAAATGAAACGTTGGCAATAAACTTCAAAGCTGGCTACAATTGTTACTTGGGCTTTGGGAATAAAAGAAGGGCCAAAGAAGACTTAGGGCTTGTCTACACTGGCACTTTACAGCGCTGCAACTTTCTCACTCAGGGGTGTGAAAAAACACACACACACCCCCTCCGAGCGCAGCAAGTTTCAGTGCCGTAAAGTGCCAATGTAAACAGTGCACCAGCGCTGGGAGCTACGCCCCTCGTGGAGGTGGGTTTTTTTAGAGCACAGGGAGAGCGCTTTCCCAGCACTCTGTCGAGACTACACAAGCCACGTTAAAGCACTGCCATTGCCAGCACTTTAACATTGCCAGTGCAGACTAGCCCTACGGATAAAAGAGGAGCCCCACGGCAGCATTGCTTCCAATTAAGGATGGTCTGAACATCCACATTTAGATCCAGGTTGAAATCTTGGCCAAGTTTGGGGGCGTTCGGACTTGGGATTTTGATTGGGCTGGTTTCTACTTCTATTCAGGAGTCTCTCCAGGGAAGTACGCCCAGCCTGGCATCTATTGGAAAAAACAACTAAAAGCTAAATTCCCTTTGAGACTCCCTGGATCGATGGGACAATATAAAGAATAGTTTCCATTTTACTTGTCAAGAGAGTAAAGTGGCCTTCAGTATATTTGTAAGCCCTGCTATTCTTCTGCTAAATGCAGCATTTCTAACAACAGCTGTGTAAAATTACATGGACACGGATAATAGCTTTTGCTAGAGACTGGTAGGGGATTGTGATCATCTGGCACATCCTGCAAGTAACTACGAGCTACACACTAGACTGTGCTTCATGCATTGCCAATACTCTTCTGCGATTTGTTTTGAGCCAGTGGCCAGCCTGACTAATAGGGAACCATCTTTGAAACCTATGCAGCTTCTTGCCAAAAGCAGATTTTAATTAAATGCAACCTATTGTATGTTTGTTTATAGAGCTCTTGGTGTCTTGAAGCAGAGCTTGTCCTAACCAGGAGAGATTTGATTTTAAATCCGGTTGATAGGTTCTGTACAGTCTGCCAAGAGAGGGAGAAAAGAGGAGAAAGATATTTTCCTTTCAAGCAGAATACTTTCTAGTATCAGTGTTAGAGTGGGGAAAATGTGATGAGAGGATAATTACTGGAAACACTGTTTTCAGACAGTGGGCTAAAAATGGAAAACCTTGCTGTTTTCCCAATTACTGCTCCTGGTTACACTAATGCCTGCCTTGTTACAGTAATTAACCTACAATATCACACTTCAGTAAAATGACGATGGAGTCATCCACTACAAATGTGCTGCTTTCAAGTTTATTTAGCATTGCGTGCACAGAACTTGCCGTGTGACTTATGGCGCATCAGTCAGCTTTCAAATACATCCCCAAGCCCTGCCTGTCAATAGCCTAGAGAGCAAATTTGGCTTAATAAACGTAGGGCATGTGTCTACTGCTGAGGGCATGAGTACTGCAATCAAGTCTAATAAAGAAAGTAAAATCTGCTTCTGCACAGCATAATGTCTTGTGATCTGGTATTTTGACACATCGTAGTGCTTGAATATTATTTATACGGTTGTGCCCATCCAGGCCTGGTGCCGAGCACATCTTGCGCGATGCAGTGCACTGTTTCACTGGAAACTGAGGACTTGCTGGACATTTGTAATGAAAGCTGCACATTCTCATTGCATAACACTGACTGAACTGTATTAATTAGCAAAGAAAAGATGGAACCTGTCAAAAGAACTCAATCCTGTGCCCCATTAAATCACTGGTAAGACTGCTGCTGAAATCAATGGCAGCAGAATCCGGCTAAGTGTTCTCTAGACATCTGTACTGTAACTAGATTATTACTCAATGTAATGAATTACTCCACATAGAATTAAACGTCTACCCCAAGAGTTAATTTCTGTAGCAGTGCCACAGTGTTTCCATATGATGTTTCATGCGTATGTTGTAGTCGATGAAAGTTTAAAACTTGTCATCTCTGTTAACTGAAAGCACTTCAAAAGGATAGCAGTGTGAATTCGATTCCTTGCAAAATAGGTCTTGCATAATTCCCTTCACCTCTACAGAAAGACTTTGAAGTTTGCTATTGAAGACATTTTCTCATGGTTCTACAGTACTGTAGTAATCCATCATTAATACCTGGCATTATGGTAAATATTAGTAACTACCTCGCTACACGCCAGACATCTCCAAACGGGGATAATTTTCCTCTCCAGCTGAAGTAATACAGCTTTCTGCCTCTAACTGTCTCACAAAGTTGCTGTCTTTTTCCTCAACCACTTACTTTCCTTGGTTGGAGCTTACCATTCTCGTATTCTGAGAACACACTAGACCAAGTCTGATTTTTTTTCTCAAGGTGCCCTGAAAACAAGGGGTAACATCTACACTGGAGAGGTGCTAACCATCACAAGGATGGGAGTAGCCTCTCACTATTCATCTTTGAGCTAGGATCTGCTCGTTTCTTTCGCCAAAGCAGTAACAGGAAGTGCTGTTGCCACCTGGTGCTTTCCTGAGAGACCAGTATCCAGCCATGCCATGATGGACATATACCCCAATAAGCAGTGGTGTTGACATAATGTCAGTCATGTCCTCCAGTGACGTGCAATGAATATTTTCTCAAGCTTGTCTCAGTGAGAAAGCCATCGGCCAAATGGAATCTGGCAGAACCCCAGAGTGGGTGAATGAGTGTCCAGGTGACTCTCTGGAATCTCTCAGTAGGAAGGGCTAAATACAACACCAGTCTGTTCCATAGGTTCTCTGAGACTGGGGCTAATGACCACCAGGGGCAGGTTGCAAACAGGTGCCAGGGGGTTAAGACCACCCTGTCCTTTCCATATGGCTGAGTAGCAAGGGGATCCCAGCTAGATCCCAGCTAGATGAGATGGGTGTCGCTGTATGGAAATGGGTGGAACCGCTTGGGGAAAATGGAGAACCACTGATCTCATCTTACCCAGGAGCTTCTTTGGACTCTGTCTAATTGACGCACCCTCATGTCTTCCCCGGAACATGGTCAAGTGCAGTAATAAGTTGTAATGCCAAGAGACCTCCCACAGAAGGGCAAACTCATGTTTAAGCCTGTTGTATAGCTAGCTAACGCCTTTCTTTTTCATGGCTCATTATCTGAAATGCCTTTACTGTCTGGGGCCAGACTACCATCATGCCTTTATTTCTAGAGTGCCGCCCGTTGAGGGACGCAGGTGCTATGCAGCCGACGAGCAAATGTCCAGTCTTGGGATGACATGCTGTGCTGCCATTGGCTGTTTCTGACTTTTGTTTGGTTGGTTTGTGGGGGGACAGAGTTGCTCCCTGGGACTAGTCACTGGTGTTGGGATGAGGCTCCTCGAAGACAGGCTAGCCCTACATGCTGTTCCAGGCCTGCTGTATACTTGTAAACAAAGCAAGTTACAGTTAACATATGCCCAGACTCTACACTAATGATTTCTCCTTTACTGGGTTGCTGACCTGCAAGTACAACAGATGTGTGTACATGATTGAAGGCACATAGAGAGTAATTAACTACAGCGCTTTAATACCACATTAATTTCTGTCCATGAATAGAGCTGAATATTTTCTATGTGTCATGAATTCCCTGTATTGTTAATTGTCTCATATTTATTTTTTGCAGCTCATTTTTGAAGGGATCCGAGGTCCTGGCATTGAAGGTGATATTGCTATTGATGATGTATCGATTGTGGAAGGAGAGTGTATGAAAGCAGACCAGCCAGCCAACAGTAAGTGGGTCCTCCAGACAGTGTGATGAGCTGTCTAGATACTTATACCGCTCCCCATCCCTGTAAATGCGAGCCATGTTCTAAACCAGACCCTGTGGTGCAGAAAGCAAAACAAAACGTTACCCAGTGAAGATGGAGATGTTTAAAGATTTTCTTGGAACCAAAATCTGGAGCCAAAATATCTCTAGTCAAATATGAAAATGCATGATATTTGTTTTTTAAATGTAATGGCAGCAAAGAGAAGGAAAACCAAATGGGAGTCAGGCAGGCCAGGACCATGAAATTGTACTCTGGTGTGTAGCTAGAGGGCATGTATGTATGTATATAATGGCACTGGTCTATATTAAAGGAATACTAGTTCTCCACATATAGAGCCAGATTCTGATAGCCACTGTCCCATTGCTCCGTGCCTTACACTATAGGTCTTTATTTGAAGTCAGTGGAACTGTTTGTGGAGTAAGGTACAACTGTACTGAAGTCAGGATATCAGAATCTGTTCCCTAAACCGTAGACATTTGGATATTAATAACGTACTTAATTTTAAAAGTGTATAGATCTCCTTTTCTTTTACAATTAATAAACATTATATATGTGTGCGTGTGTTTGTGTCTGTGTGCACGTATATATTTATTTGTTTTATTATTATTATTATTATTATTATTATTATTATTATTATATATAAAAATCTCCATTATCCTACTGATAAATCTGACTGAATAAAGAGAGGGAAGGAGAGAGAGAGAGAGATGGGTGTATGGGGATGGATGGATGGATGGCTAGATAGATAGATAGATATTTCAGGCACACATCTATGCTAAAAGAATTTTAAGGTTGCAAAGCCAAACACTCAAAAGTTAGGAAATTCCCAAATGTAGGTTGCCTGTGAAACCTTAATTCATCCCCCACACACAGATTACTTTGTAGATAGGTTTTATGATAAAGTCTTTAATTATATGATCACTTACTATTTTTCTCACAGGACCTCTGCCTTATTCAGTGCCCAGGATTGACCTCGGTCCCCTTATTTATCAATAAATATCATCCAGTTATCCCAACAATGCTGGAAGCTTGGTGGAAGTGGGGAGCCTGGCCAGGGGGCGTGGCCTTGGGGGGAAGAGGCAGGGCAGGGGCGGGGCTACTGAGAGGGACCGGGTCTCTTGGCAAGCATTGGGAAGAGGCTGGCACCATCAGCAGGGGCTAGATTTTGCAGCGGGGCAGCCACTTACCTCCTCCGTCGTGAAGCGCAGTCCTGCCGGCGCCACTCTGCTTCTGCCCAAGGCAACGCAGCCTCCTTCCCCCCAAACTATGCCCGTGTTAAAAAGCAGGCAGGCATGGCCCTCGCGCTTTTAAAAGTGTGGGGGGGAAGGGAGGTGGTGCCAGCACCCGTGAGTTATCCTGTCCCCCAGCCTCTGCATTTCCATATGGGAACTTTCAATCTGTGCAGTGTCAGTGTGCCATTTACCCTGATGTGGTAAACTCTTGATTATCTGCTCGTTAATTCTATTTTTTTCTCCCCCACTCTTTGTAGATTTACGAGCAGGTGCTGTTGGGACATTAGCACATATATGGCTTTTTCCAGTGATCCTCCTCATGTCTGTCTTAAGTCATCAAAGGTGACCTTATCCTGGCAGAGGCTATGAAAGATTCACCAGGCATTGGCATGAAGAAAGAGTCTTTGTAAAATGGACATTTAAAAACAAACTACCAAAGATTCCTCCACTGACTGACTCAAAACATTAAAATAAATAAATAAAAATTAAAAAAAAAAAAAGCACTGGGGATAAAAGGCATCATGGGAGCGTAACTGACTCTGAACCACATATGAAAAGCGATCTGGCGTAAAAGAGACCCTCAGGTGCTTTTGTGGTCTATAAGAAATACGGCATCATCTGGTTGAACTCTGAAAAAAAGACCTATAGAAATCCTTGTCAAAGCACAAAGTCATGGCTGGGTTTGTTTCAAATGAATAGGTTGTTTGTTACCCTTGACAACA